ACTTAACCTGAGCAGGTATCGGCATGCTGTCATGTACAGTGAGGCGAGCTCTTGGTGAGGCGAGCTCGGCGAAAAGACTGAACCTGAGCAGGTATCGGCATGTTGTCATGTACAGCAGACGGCAATGTCTTCATCGCACGACAACAGTGACGCCATGCGGGATGCGGCACCGACCATCCTCGGAGTATTTCGTTCTAATAATAGTCCAAACCAACGACTTGCGAAGGGAAAGGATGACTGGATGACGAAACCGACATGCATGCATTGATGAACCAGTCCAAACCGATCTGGTGTAGTACAATATATGACGGGGTACGTAAATCATTAGCCAAGGCCAACACTACAAGGACGTTTCCCTCCTCCTCCCGCATCGCCCTCCCCAGGTGACTCGGGAGGCGACACCGCCAACTTCCTCCTCCTCCCCTGCCTCGCCGCCGCATGAGCGGGTGCCGGCAAAGCCGTGCGGCCGCAAGGACAGCGGCGACGGGGCCTTGTCTCACCCTCCACGCGCTCAGCGGCCAGGGGCGTTGCTCGGAGCGGCAGAATTGGTGGCCAGATCCAGGCCGGGCCCAGCCGGATCTGGCGGAGGGGTCACTGGCGGCGGGGAGTGAAGGTGACGGCGGCGACGCCTGGTGGCGGACGTGGCAGCGTGGGGTTTGGCGGCGACGGTGGCGGAGTCCCCCAGATCCGCGCCAACTCGGTCGGACCTGGATGGCGGCTAGCGGCTGGCGGTCGCGGATGTGGCAGCGGTTGGCGATGGCGGCTGGCGACGGCGGCGGTGGCTATGGTGGCGGTGTTGTGGTGGATGCTGACTGCTGAGGTGGTGGATGGCGAAGAGGCAGCGAATGTGATTGCGGCGGCGGTGGCTGGCGACGACGGCTGGAGACACCGAGACGGCGGCAGCGACGGACGTCGGCTGCGGCAATGAAGGTGGCGGTGGAGGCGGCGTCTGGCGGCTGGCGACGTCGGCGGATGCGGCAGCGGCTGGCGACATCGTGCAGATGGTTGCCGGCGGCAGCAAGTGGAGGCGGGGAAGGAGTGATGTGACCATGGCTACTACGGATACAACCATTGTTCACATCATGGATGAACAACAAGATATCAAGTTCAAGTCCTCCAAGTGCTAGGATCCAATTCGGCCACCTGCTACACTGCTGACTTCAAACAGCCACCGAATCTGCATACGACCTCCGTTTTTGACCCGTGAGTACTTGATGGAAAGCTCTCGGAGTCCTCTTTCCAACGGATCTAGCCACATCACCAAATTCCACCCTAGCCATCTGCAAATAAAGAAACAAGGTGCTGTAACACCTGTCATGGGCCTTTGGGCTTGTAACTTTGTTTGGAACCCCGGCCCATGTGGGACCCATGTTGGGGGCGCCCCAACCAGGTGGAGCACGACCCTAGGCACCCTAGGTCGTCCTCCCACATCCATAAATAGCTAGGTACCACTTCAGGGTTTCTCGGGTTTTGTTTAGATTAAAGTTTAGCTTCGCTACTTTGCCGTGTAATCCCGTGATCGGTTAGATCGACGGTTTGCTCGTTACGGAACCCCAATTTATCATTTGTATTGAATTCCTATCTGCAATTCAGATTGCTTTTATCTTGTTCTTGCTTGTTTCTTCTATTTGCTTACAGGAATAAGGTTGATCTGCACCGGCAAGATCAACAACCCACGGAGAGGTGTATCGATCGCTAAGACGCAATACAACAACGTCTTGTACGGTTGTAGTCGGGTCGTCAACGTTTCTCCCAAAGTGTAGTTATCTACAACTCACCGAAAGATCGGGCCACGGAGATGATGTGACCATGGCTACTACGGATACAACCATTGCTCACATCAAGGAGTCGGGCAGCGGAGAAGGAGAAGACTAGGTGTGGGTGCGGACGCGATGTCGTCGGCTGGAAACGGGCGATGACAGACGACGGGCGCTTAGCCGAGGAGGCGTGACAGACGACCGCACTTGGCCGGCATGGCGGCGGCTAGAGGAGGGGTCAGAGGTTGGCACGATGCTTTGAGGCGTGACAGGTAGCAGCGGAGCGTTACGACGCGAGGTGGCGCGGCCGGCGGCAGTGGAGGTCGGCTTGGCGTGAGGAGGTGCAGCCGGTGGCTGGAGGCCGGCTTGGCGCGGTTGGTGGCGGAGGAGGCGGGCAAGGCGCGACGAGGCGTTGCCGGCGGTGGAGGAGGCGAGCACGGTGCGACGAGGAGGAGCTTCCGGTGGGTTCGGTTTGGTCTACGGCGCAAGAAGGCTGGCTGGTGAGGGCGCCGGTGCAGTGGTCCCACGTGCCGGCAGAAGTTTGACAGTGGTGGGGCATCGTGCCAGCCGTGGACTCGCAGGTGGTGAGTGGCGGGTGAAAACCCAGCCTGGTCTCGCCCTGGTCGGCAACGATGACGTTCGAAGCGTCATTCCCCTCCTAAGGGCGTTGTCATGCCGTCTCATCCCTCAAGTGTGGATGTCAGGCGAAAGCCCAGTCTCGGTTCTCTTTGAAACCTTGACGGACGGCGGCGGTGGTATTTTCCGTCGCTTCTCTTCTTGAAGACGTTGTTTAGACATCCCTTAGCCGAAACCCCCCAACCAATTGATGCAAGCTCGCTCTAGATTTCATCCTCTTGTTGCGGTGTGCTAGACACTACAAGTTGGCCACGTCGGAGGGCCTAGGGGGAGATGTGTTCTATTCTTCTCTCTCACCCTCTCTCCCTAACTCCTGAAGTCTTGGATAGAGTGGGTTTGTGTTGACTGTAAGGGTTGGGTTTTGGGCGATCTCGGCCATGTTTCGTTGTCAGCCTAGCAGCGATCGATCACGCTTAGCAACGGCCGGTCCGGTGCTATCCTTCTCTTGGACCTGTGTGTTGGCGCTGCCGGTGTGTGGGTGGTGGTATACTTTTTTCCTTTTCCTAGTTACGACTTTCCAGGGTTGTAATCTTGTAATTTTTTTCTGGTCTATTAATAGAACTTCACACCGTCTTGTGCGAGTCGTTAAAAAAAATGACGGGGTGTCTTCTTCTTTTTTTTTATGCGCTATGATCAATCAGATGAGAAATCTTCCACAAAATCGGAAAGCTAAATGACGGATGGAAAAAAACCGGAAACCATACTTATTATATTTTTATAATGGTAGAGATTATTTTCTCCCATATTAGAAAAAAATAACCTTTTGGCACCATTTTAAATTTGTGAAATGGCTCTTCTATTATTGTGATATTGTGAAATGGCTTTTTCTAGTTGTTTGTTGGATTATTTTAACATAGTACCGTTGGATGTGATTTTGTACAATTTGATAAACTGAAAAAGCTTTCACTTTGTCTGCCTATGCGGTGAAGTATGTTTGATTTAATTCATATGCACGTACACGATTATTAGTAGAAAATTAAGCATGCGGTTATATTTTTGAAAAATAAGTACGAGGTATACCTCTTGGGAATATTTTCTCTACTAATATTTATTATACCTCTTGCAAAATTTCTCTGCTTATTTATTTTATTATGCAGTGTAATTAAAGGGCTTCTCTTTCTATATATGTGTTTTCACACATCTGTTGTTTACTATTTCTATTTCTACATTTTTCAAATCACGCGTTTTAAAGCTTGCCCCTTAGAATTGTGAGAAATTGCGTGAGTAACGTGGCACTCGTAAATATTAAAAAAATAATCTAGATCTTAATTAAAAAACATCCAGGTAATTTCATTAGATAAAATCAAAGAAAGATTAAGATTTGGTGTTTCCGAAAACTGTTTTAGATTAGATTAAGATACATTGACGGTCCTTCAACTTGAGCGAAGATGCCACTTAGGTCAATAAACTTAAAAATTAATAAAATTATATATTAAGGTCCATGATCTTATTTTAATAAAATATAGCCGGTCCAAGCGCATTTGACCGGAGCTGACCGCTAACATGGTGCTCTACTTAGGCAGCATTTTGCATCCGCCCCCTTCACATCTTGACATATATGGTGGTAATTTTATACTTAACCCCATGTTGCTACAGTAGTCGCTGAAATCCCCCGCCCCTCCCCTCCCCCCCCCCAAAAAAAAAATCCCTTCATCCCTTTGCATTCCAAACAACAGCTAGGGTTGCGATGACAACGGCGGTATCCGGAGGCGGCGAGGTAATGGCGGTTGGGGCGCCGATTCATCTTCTCCACTGAAGGCGAGGAAGGCGCATTATGCATCGCCTATCAAGCGCTGCTAGTCGCGCATCCAAATTGACACCTCAATCAATTCGCACCACCGATGATCGTCGGCATCGTCCTCGCCCTACTCAGGCCTCTCCCTCGAAAGCGTCTGGGGGATGCAAAGGGACGCAGGGGTTTGGGATATTTTGATGGATTTCGATGACTACTGTAGCAACAAGGGATAAGTAAAAACTATTGCCTACATGGAGTACCACATAGCCGTTCAGCTCTAGTCAAACGTCATTTGGACTAGCTATGGTTCATTAAAACAAGATTATGAATTTTAACGTGAAAATTTCAAGTTTACGGACCTATATAACACCTCCGCTTAAATTTAAGAACCGACTCTTTATATTATTGTGCGAATTCAGTTCACCTTTACTACTCTTTAAATTATGATTATTGTGCGAACGATTTTGCTATATCTCACACGAAAGATTTTTTCTTATCTCTCACTCGATTTTCTCACTCAAATTTACAGTGCATTTTCTTGTAAGTTACAGTGTAATTTATGAAACTTACACTGTAACTTTGTAAGTTATACTGTAATTTTTAAATCTTCGCATATAAATTTTAAATTTTGTATTGGATTTGGTCTTTTTCTTGAGGATATGGTAATTTAGTGTCCATTATGGTGTTTCTTAATTGCTTTTTGCTTTTTATTATATCTATCAGATTTTAATCTAAAGATTAAAAATCTGTGTGATACGATCATAAAAATCTTTCGAAAGATGTATAGGTACTCCCTTGTGCGAATTCAGATGACCGATAGAATAGGAAAAGAAAATGGTGTTAACCTGGTTGGGTTGGGGGCCCAGAGCGTGACTCGCGCGCATCATCCAAATCCCACTACCGCTCCCTTCCAAAAACCAAACTCCGCAGTCTCTACCAAACCCACGCCGGCGCCGCATCGTCTTCGTCTCGTCTCCTCCAGTCAAGTGCTAGCTAGGGCCTAGGCTGCCGCTCCCGCTCTCTCGCCTTCTTCACCCCCGAGCCTGATCGATGGGGAAGCAGGAGCAGGAGAAGATGCTCCTCCAGGCCGCCTACGATGACAACCTCCGCCTCCTCAGGAGTGAGTATTGTATCGTATATTTCCTAGCCCTTTCTCTCTTAGGGTTTAATTGCTTATTATGCTTTTCCGATCGAAACTCACCGTTCTTTCCGTTGATATAGAGATGGCGCGAGGGCTGGACACCGGGCAGGGCGAGGCTGCCGTCGTGGCGGCGGTGGCGGGCAGGGCCGACGGGAACCGCGCTCTCCACCTGGCGGCCGCCCGAGGAAGCATGGATGTCCTCAGGTACCTCGTGGAGGACCTCCACCTCAGCGTCAACCAGTTCAATGCCAAAGGTCTTGCATTGCCTCTCTTCCGTTCTATTTTTTCAGTTTGATTTATTCTACTAGTTTGTTCAAAAAATGGTATAATTAGTTATGGTTTAAGCTCAGTCAACATAACCTAATTTTAGTCATTGTGCAAGCATTGCATATCTCCTTTTCTGAGTGCATTGAAAACCCACAGTTTGCATTGAAATCACACTCCAAAACTATCGTGAACCCAAGTATCAAATTTGGTAACATCATTTTTTTATTACTCAGAAAGATTCGATAGGACGGTCCCTAACAGTTATTGCAATTTTGAAACGGGGGGGGGGGGGGAGTTACTATCTCGGCCGAATTTTTGGGTTTTTCTCAAATTTCTGTGAATTTGGTCAAAACTTAGTCAAATTCAGTTAAAATTTCAAGTCCGAAAAGTGCCAATAATACCAAAATTTCAGGAATTTTGGTAGAACCGAAATGGCTGAAATCTATATTGGAAGCCCTGGTCCCTACTAAACTATATATATGTCTTGCGAAAGAAAAAATGTCACAACAATTAACAGATTAACCAAAACCGAAACAAATTGCTTGACCCCTCACCCCCACTCAATCCCACAAATCCACAATCATCACAAAGAAAGAGAGACCAAATATATCACCTAATTAAGCAATGCGGAGAGCCTTGTCATCATGTGTGCTGGAGGCTGCCACTTTGTGGACCAGAGGAGTTGTTAGGGTGACTGGGGAGGCCAGGTCTTGCACATACAGTAGTTGGAGAAGTAGTGGTACCATTGCAGAGATGCGTGAGAGGCGAGAGAGTTGACGTGGGTTGGAATTCAACTGAGTTACAGCGTCCGTGATTGTGTAGCAGCAGATAACTGGTTTCATATTTATACACAGTACCTTGTCTCATAATTGGACTTGAATTGTCAATTCCAATTCCTAATGGCATACAACAACCTCTTCAATGGAATTGGAATGTGTTCCTTGGAACTGGAAGTATTCTGAGCAGTAATTGTGCATTCTTATTTCCTTGCATGCCATACTTTTTACGGTAATCATTAATCATGTGGAGTCACTGGTACTAACATTAGAACTACTGAGGCCAGGTGCACCCCATCTTTCTTTCTTTTTTTTTTTGAAAAGGAGAAGCCTACTTAACCTCATGCAGAAGAAAAACCGGTATCATGCGTCCTGAAATGCTTATAAACTAGTCGGTACCCCGCGCCGTGCCACATGTTTTGTTAGTTTTATCGTCAAACAAAATCAAAATTTTAAATGGCTGGGTGCAACTCTACATATATACAGAATATATGATAATGTGGCTTTATATATATCCTCTGGTATTATGATACAATTCATGCTTTATTTTTCAAAGCGTCATTGTGTATTTTTACGATATATGAATATTATTTTCATGCACAATCTAGGTATCATTGCAATTAGATTGTTTGCACATCTCTACTTCTCTCAAAGCATATGAAAATGGGTTCGGGAATGATGCCTAATAATTGTATGCTATCTAATGCATGCATAATAAAACAAAACTCACATCTTAAACAATAATTTGAGTTGTATTCGAAAAAAATAAGTTAGCATTATCTTTCAGGACTTGGGAGGAAAAAACATGGTGTTATGTGCAAAAGTAGGTAACAATGTTATGTGTGCCTTTGAGGTGGAGCAAAGGGAGGTGAATGGACGACTAATAAATGATTGAGTTAGATGGATAATAAGTAGCTTCTTTATCCAATGGCTATTATCTTTGTACTAATGCAATTTGATGGCTTAAAATTGCTGATGATGTGGCTTTTGGCATATCTTGCTTTATAGGAGTAAATGCCCCTTAGTGGGTACCAACTATATAGGAAGATGGCATAGGATGTCAAAATAATCCCTGAGGTGGTTTTGCCACGGTAAACAACATGACTAGTGAGTAGTGAGACTTAGCAGATGAATATAAAATCAGTAATAAAATGCCCCACTTCTTAAAACAATGTTTCATGCCGGTACATAAATTTAACTTTGGAAGCAAAAGATAAACTTGACCCTCGCATGAGTGGATTCACCACATAAAATATTTTTAGGATGCAGACCATCGCGACATTGTTGTCCGCGACTCCACGTCATTTGGTATATTGGCATCTCAGGGGTTTTTTTAGATGGCTTTCAATACCTACTAGGGATACGGTACCAAATTTTATACTTAAAGGCGTAAGGGGTTAATGACCTAGGTTTGAGAAGTGGGATGATGATGAATTCACCACTTGATCCTTGATGACATTATTTGATTTGAGGAATGGAATGGGCCATCACCACCTCAATCTAAAAAGTACATGCTAAGCTATTGGGGAAAATATGTAGTGCAAACCTGGAAACTAACGTAGGATCAAAATATGGACATCTGAGATTTGTCTATCACACTCTGAGGATGACGTGGACAAATCTCAGACGTCCCTTTTTTATCCTACAGTAGTTTCCAGGTTTGCACTGCATAATGTCCCAAGCTATTGGATGAAGAATTAATGGAGTCATTTTCAAATTTTGTGGGATGATCATGTGATCGATAACCCGTCCTAGATGTGTTGGTTAGTCAAACTAAACAGCCTGTAAGTAGATGAGCTCCCATACGTCTAAGTGGTAAAATAGATTTTTTTTTTTGTTTAGACAATACCATTTTACATTATGCACCTTTGTAGTTTGTATTGTTGAAGGCTCGATCCATATGACCATACGGGTTCCCTATGGTCCTTATGCCATATTTTTCTTGGCAGGTGAAACACCACTGTGCCTTTCTTCAATTCATGGGAGAGCTGCTGCTACAAGATATCTTCTCGATCACGGTTCTGATCCTACGATTGATAAATCAGTGTTACCTTTTCATGCTGCTGCAACGAAAGGTCTATCTATCTCTTTCTCACACACCGCGCACACAGAGTCCAACATATATTTTGAACAATATATTTGATACATATGCAAGTGAATTCTTTCTTCACTTGGATTCACCATTATTTTCTTCTAACATTTCTATCAAAATTTGAACTATTGTTTGAACTCAAAACTTAAAATGGATAAGCACAGACTATTGGCCAGTAGCTAGATGAAACCAGAGAATGTTTTCCCCTCATGTGCAAGGTTGTTTCAGGAGAGGCACTCCTTGTAATAAAATACTGATCACTATATTATAGTCATGACTCTGGATTTCTGTCATTTTGTGGAAAAAATTGCAACAAGTTCTCACAACTAATGGCAAATTGCACATAGAGACTAACTCCTTGCATCAGTCTTTTGTCATTAGTAAGTTTTTTTTTCATAGTTTGTTACTAAAAATTGTTGACAAATATAGAATTCTGACAAAGGCATGAAGTCTTGAACAATGCTTCTCTCTTGGGTGATTGCTTGGCTCTGATTCACATTTTATTGATGATTTGGATGAAAAAGAAACAACTAAAAGTTTCTGGACAACAACTTTTGTTCCTACACTTCATTATTATTGTCCTTTATTATAAGCATATTTGCTGTTAATATGTTGAATTTTGCTCAAGCCAAGCTTTAGATATTAAATTTATGAAAACTTAAATCCAAATTTTATTGTTTTCCAACAGACTGCTGTTGAAGGAAACTCTGTTCCTGTCCAGGAATCACTGTTAACACTGTTTCTAGGGTGTTCCTGATTGAGCTGAACCTTTTGTTCTTATTAATTATTTAGAAATTCTTCTTTTGCAGGACACTGCGAAATAGTAGAGTTGTTTCTTTCAAGAGGAGTTGATGTGGATTTAGATTCTATCACTGGGACCCCATTGCTGACAGCTGCGATGAATGGCCAATATAGCACGATGAAGATTTTATTGGAGCATCACGCTGATGTAAGACATCAATTTTTTTTGTTGCTCCCTCATCTGTGCAAAAGAAATGCCTGACTTGTTAAGCTTTTAAGGATAGTATCACTGATTTCAGACCATGACACATTAGAATTAATAATTGAAATAATTTTCCTCCAGCACCTATGCCCCATCTTTTTTTTAATTGTCAAACACACATCTTTATTACTCAATTGGCTCAGTGGAATCATGAGCCACCAGGCAATTTACTTACTCCGGGAGGGGATCAGTCCAAACAACAGACTGACCCGGGTCCCATCTTACCGCAATTTGAGCTAGTTCATAAGCAGAAGTATTACAAGACCGAGGAGCATAGGTGAAATCTACTTTGGCAAATTCGCTGAATAAGCTGTTGGTCTGGAGCAATGCACACAACTAATGTTGGATTATAATTGGTTCTCTCAATGCGCAACATCCTCACTTTCTCAGGAGTGCTATAAATGCAATTTATTTCCTGTATAAGCACACCATGTACTGATATTAATTTTCTTTTTTTCCCTTTTATTTAAACAATTTCAAGATCTTGATTATTCCACTTTCGCAGCCTAACAGGGTTGTCAATCATAATGGTACCCCATTGATTATGTCCATAGTTTCTGGATCATTGGAATGCGTGAAGCTATTAATCAAAGTCAGTTACCTTTTTCTTGATGTTGATATTCATGTTTGTAAATTGTAGTAGGCTAGTAGCACCTTGTTTATTTTCCTTTTCGTTTCTTGGTGGATGACAACTGAGATCAAACAACAATTTCATTTACACAGGTTGGTGCTGATGTGAATTTTAGAGATCCCAATGGTGTTACTTGTGTGATGGTCGCAGCAAATCATGGCTCTCCTGTCATCATGAAGTGCTTACTAGATGCTGGTGCTAATTCAAATATTCCAGATGAAGTGAGTAATATTCTTTCCTCTATAGCCTGTGACTGGATGTTGTTGCATTAGGCTGTAGTGATCTTGAGAGATTAGGATAATCTGCTCACTTATTCTTTTTATCAAGTGCGCACCAATGGATAAGTCTGCATCAGAAGAAGACAAAGACATATGGCTTTAGTGAAGCATACTTCATAGTATGTGACACATGATGGAACCATTGCTTCCATGCTGCTTTATAGGAATGCAATTGTTGAGTGCTCACATTCCACTCCAAAGGGTGGATATAAGTTTTGATTTTCACTACTGTCTGAGCCTGTTTGGCGATGCTTAATACAGGGAATGATGAGAAAATACTAAGGTTTACGGTTTACCAATGTCTGAGTGGAGAAATATTTAGGTCCCCTATAACTGATCGAACAAACTAATGTCCTATTCTGTATAGTTCTTTGGCTGTGTACCCTTTGAACCTTCATCCTATCCTGTTTTGACAAATATCAGTATGATATAAAAAACCTGTTTTTCTGACCCTTGGTTTAACCTTACTATATTATTAAACCTAATGTTTATTTTACAAGCTTGGCTCAGAAAGTTGTACGAGGTTACCTTATTCTTTTTTCCACTTGGACTCTCTGAAGTCCATCCAGACATTGGGTTCAAATTTTCTAACTTGGAATCCTAGCTGTTAATGTTGAAATTGTTAAATTCTTTGCAATATATGTGATATTTGCATTGTTGATGAAGAATTAAATCAACCAGTTCTTTTACTCCTGCAGTTTAATAGGACTCCAATTGAAGTTGCCGCTAATCGAGGCAGAAGGGACATTGTTAAAATGTTGTTTCCTTTAACTTCACCAATTTCAACACTGCCTGATTGGAGTATCGATGGAGTTATTTCTCATGTGCAAACTTTTGGTTTGAAGCCAAGGGTATTTGTTCCTTTACATGCCACCTGTAATTGCATATCATTGTTTATCATCATTCTTAGTTTCCCTTACCAGTTACCACCCATGCTTGCTATTGATAAAGATAATAACCGTATCCAACTGCATCTAGACTTGATGCTATGGTGGAGCCATATTGTTTCTACTAAGGCTTATTTTACTTTTTGTTTTTACTAAGGATTATTTTACTGGATAACTGGAGCAGAGCAGAGTCTGCTGCTTAAACTTGTCTCCAGTCCACCTATCCATCTTCTCCTTCTCAATATACAAGCACTCAAGAAAATAAAGAAAATATTAGGATCCACATGCCTCCTATATATTTTCTAAAATTTTGATTTGTCTATTAGGACGCCACATGCAGCGCAGTGGATGATTTAGATGACGTATGGTCTGCTAGCTAGCTAGCTAGCAAATCAAGATAACATAGGTGTAAGCGAGATAGAAAAGGAAGTGTTTCTGGTTATTTATTATTGATCAGTAATTCAGTATGGTGATGTCATCACTCTTTGCCCAAGTAGGTTCCGTGTGGATGCCACGTGACTAAAAACCACTTTACTTTAGGTTCATGGACAATGTGTGATTTTGAATGGATAGTCATTGTTGATAGATAAAAATTGGACCGAGGCCATAGCTGAGGGTCCAAATGTTAACTTTCTTTTCCTTTTTTATATTTTCTCATGATATCCTGTCAATTAAACATTATTGGTTATTGGCATATCTGATGAACTGAATAATCATCTATCAGTATGTAGTATTAACTAAAAAGATCCATGGATATGTAGTATTAGGTTATTGATCACTATTTATCATTGAATTCGTGAAGATTGGCATCTAATCAGCAAAATTTATGTTGTTTCGCATCCATATTCTGGTGCGTAAGCTAATCATGCTGATTTGCTGTGCTACTTGATCTTATAGTATTTTTATAGTATTTAAAAGTAATATGGAATGCACTGCACAGATATTTATTAGCTCGTAGTTGAGTCAACTAATTTCAAAAGCGGTAGTACTGGAATATCCAACTGGCTATTTTGACAGGTTATGCAAGATATGTAAATCATTGACAGTGATGTGTTAACCAATCGTTTCAAAGATGCAGCTTCATATCGTTATTAATTCTGCATATTTTTTGTAACTGCAATTCCTTTTTTTTTTCCTCAGGATAATGATCTGTCTAAAAGGAAAAGTGCTGAACTGAAATTACAAGCTAGAGAGGCTTTCGAGAGAGAGGAATATATGCTTGCAGGACAACACTACACTAATGTAAGAACATTGTAGCTCTGCACCCTGACAAAAAGTTGTTTCAGTACTAGTAGTATACTACCTCTATTTGACAAACCTATGCTTTGTTGGATTACTTAATTAATTAGAAGGCATGATATGGCTGCAGTTGAGGTGAGTCGTATAGACAAACAGTACATTCCATGTTATGTATTTCTAAAATTTTCATGCACTTCTACTTCAGGCAATAGAACTTACCACTAATGCTCATGATAAGGCAACCCTGCTAGCAAACAGGAGCCTGTGCTGGTTGCGTTTGTCAACCGGCAATGGGGCTCTTGCTGATGCTAACATGTGCAGAATGTTGCGGCCCAGTTGGCCCAAAGCATGCTATCGACAAGGGGCAGCTTTCATGTTTCTAAAGGTAAAAAAGATAAAAGAGCACGTTTTTTTAAAAAAATTCGATTTTATTTGTCGAAAAATTGATCTGTTCTTTTGTGTATAGGACTATGGAAAAGCTTGTGAAGCTTTTGCAGATGGCTTGAAGTTGGACCCTGCAAATGAAGATATAGCGAAAGCTTTAAGGTAACTATTCTGTATTTTTCATCCCGTGAGCATCTTGTGATCTCCCTGGTGCCCTTGTGCATGCGTAGTTATCGTTATTAGAAAATTTCTTGCGTGCCATTTGAATGCTTCTCTTGCTATAAAGTTGAAAGAAGGATCTGTGTAGAGATTTCTCCGTTTCTGTAGTACAATTCTTTTTTTTTTCACCCTGCAGGGATGCCCAGGAGGCCATGAAGGACCAAATGGAGCACAGAGGTTGATTCAGCCTTACCTTGCGCCTCTATTTTGTTGCTAGCTACTCCCTCCGTTCTATAAAAAGTATAAATCTAAGACATGCGACATATTCTAATACTATGAATTTAATATAAATTAGGATATGTCACATCTGTTACGGTTTGTATTTTATGGTAAAGAGGGAGTAAGTCCCAAAGACATTTTGGCTGCCAACGGACAAGCTTTTGCGTTTTGTTAACCTGAGACCTGAGAGTTTAGTGTTAAATGTGAACTATGTGGGAACTATTTCATGGTTTGTGGAAGTCGTCGTGCCTTCTGGACACCATCAGTTTTTTTTCCTTACATTGACTACTCGTTGGCTTATAAGCTGCGGCCAGAATCTAAATTTGAAAACTTCTTAAAGAAAATCCAAGAATTACTTTTGGAGTTGCTATTCTGTACTAGGTATCCTCTCTTACTATAAATTTATAACCCACCAACTCCTAAAACTTAACATACAAAGATGCCATCATCCTCTACTAACAAGATGCCACTGCCACATCATTATCTAGTAACAATCATTAAATTTAAACATCAAACAAAGATGCTATATTGTCTATAATTTTATAATTTATTAAATTTTAGAGCTTTTAAAATGCAAGTATGTTAAATCATCATCCCACATTATCACATAATATTTCAATATACATCTTTATTATTTTTTAAATATACTATGTAACTATATAGTTCATGTTATTTTTCTCTTCTCTCATTAAGCCATATCAAATCAGTTGTTTTTAGTGCTTAAATGAAATCTATGGTCCAAATTTTCTCTCTTTTTCTTCTCTCATTAATCTATATCACCTCAATGATTTTTAGCCTTTAGATGATTAATCTATGGTTCAAACTATCTCAATATTTTTTTTCTTTCATAAATTCATATAACCTTACTTTTACATTTTAATCATCATTCTATATACTATTAAAATTTAAATTATCATAAAAGATGTTAACTTATGTAATCTTATGTTGTCTACTTGTCTTACACATTATTTTTATTTATTGTTATCATACTAAATTCCCGCAGCAACGTGCGGGGTTTTACCTAGTAATAATCGTAAGATCCAAACCTAACCCATTTTTTAATTGCACTATCGATGGCGACAGATCAATAGTTTAACATATGTTTTGTCACTATTCATCTAATATATGAATAACCATAAAGATTTTTTATGGGAAAAATTTTCTATACATATGTTTTGTCATTATATTCATTTAACATATGAATAACCATAAAAAAATGGCACTATAATACTTCCTCCATCCACAAAAGTTACACATATTTCACATTAAAGTTTTTCTAAATAAGTTGTTCCTATTTGTAGTCTTTATGCATTCAAGACTTAAATGAGAAGATAAATTAAATGTTTGATGGAGTCATCTAAATGCTCATTGGTTGCATGCTTGCATTCACTCCTTACATCCAAAATAATATAATTTTTCTTGGTCTTGATGACAAAAGTAATATGTGTAACTTTTGTGGATGGAGGGAGTACTATGACTTTGTTTGGCAAATGGGATTGGGAAAATAATATCCCACCCTTTAAAGGGCAATATTGCATCCTAACCATTCATCCTTCACACCTCATTTAATCCTAGCCATTCATCCATTTCCATTTCCTAATCCCACCTCCCATATCCCATTTGCCAAACACACCCTATAGTTTTTCCGCTCCCTCTCTCCTTTTATCTTTTCCCTTATAAGTATGACTGTACTGATGGGGAATAATTTGTAGCTTGCCAATGGAGTCTTAGGGCCTATTTAGTTCACGAAAAGATAATTTTTTAGGTGTTGCATCTGATGTTTGACCGGATGTTGGAAGGGGTTTTCGGACACGAATGAAAAAACTAATTTCATAACTCACCTGGAAACCGCGCGCGAGACGAATCTTTTGAGCATAATTAATCCGTCATTAGCACATGTGAGTTACTGTAGTACTTATGGCTAATCATGGACTAATTAGGCTCAAAAGATTCGTCTCGCGATTTCTCCCTTAACTGTACAATTATTATTTTTAATCTATATTTAATGCTTCATACATGTGTTCAAAGATTCGATGTGATGTTTTTGGGGAAAAAAATTGGAAACTAAACCAGGCCTTAAACCTGTTGCCGGCGATACAAAGAGCGCCCTTTTGTGTTGAAATAGCTACTCGGTTTAGATTTTCAGCGCCACGTGAAACGATTAGCTGTTTCTGTGCTCATTTTCTTTTTTTTTTTATCAAAGAGCTCATAGCACCTTTTCCGAACATATCATCTCGGGATGGTATCTTAAAATCAAGGCAGAGCATTTGAACAAATTAGCTAGAACCCCGGGCGTTGCTGCTTAATAAAAACAAAACATTTAACATATGAATAACCTTAAAGATTTTTTATGGGAAAAATTTTCTATACAGAACACCTATAATTTACATACAAGTAGAGTCAGATGACAGAGATCAATCACATAGGGGGCAGTGGCTCAACATACAGAGACGACTAGTTGCATATAGTCGGGACTCAGGCGGGCAAGTGGTGGGCCATCTCGTTGTTGGAGGGGGAGAGCGCGAACCCTACTCTCTTTCCCCATTGCCACTTGCGGAGTTGCGGTGACTAGGGTGCGGGGTAGGGTCGACGGTGCTACCGTGATGTGTTCTGGCTGGTGGTGCTCCTGTTCCACCTGCTCGTCTTCGTCGGGGCGCTTGCGGTCACTGGCCTCAACCGCTTCGCCCAGGCCGACCGCTTCACCAACCTCACTGCTACACATCGCTTCACTGAATCGCTGGAGCCCGTGAGGGAGTTGCTCCAGCGCCCGACGCTCGAGGTTGAGGAGGTCACCCCACTAAGCTCACGGAGTCGTAGTAGCCCTACTATGGCACCACGGGGCTGTGGGGTCTATTATCGCATGGGCATGGTTGGTGGCAACTATTGGGAGCCTAGGAGGAAAGATGCGGAGAGGGTGGTCATGAGGGCCGCCACGCACAACCTCACCACGTACCTCACGGTGGTGAGCTTTTTTTTTTCTCTTCCCCAAAGGTCAAAAAGGTAAGGTATAATCCCAAGATTATATATTTTATTATGCTTCATTTGGTTACCATATAAGTTTTCTTGAATGTTATCTGAGTGACTATAGTTCACATATTGTTGTAAAAATTTAATTTCATAGATCAGTAAAGTTCATTCATTGATGTTGTTTGTCTTCTAATTTTCAGTTGACTTAGTTTTGCTAAGATATAGCCCCCCTTTTTTCACTTGATCTCGCTTTATTCCCTGTGTAGTATATATGTATATGTATGTTTCTATCTCCGTTATCTCCTCTCAAGAAGATAATCAATTTCTTCTACTCTAATTCTCTTGTACAATGGGTACTAGAAAAATTACAATGTAACCATTGAAATTTATAGTGTCATATTGGTGTAGATGTAGTTTACAGTATAAAAAATTTGACTGGTTTTTAGAACAATATGACAAAAAAATATGGCTAGTCCCTAGTTTAATTTGGCCCAATAGTTTAGACGCGGTTATGAAACAACATATATAGAATAAAACGTGAATTGTACATGCAGTATTGCTAGTCTCACTAAAAGAACAGTAGCTCCATGGAGAAATAAACCCGCAACACCAGTCATGTAATTCCAAAAGTAGAAAGATACATACAAAGTGCGGCTGGTGTTACCCCTCTCTGTACATTGTTCAATAAGTAGCACATTTGGAAGCAACTCAGCAGAAACATCATATCACCACATGCGTATACAATGGCACAAAGAATATGCATGTCTGAAGATCAAAAGCCTAAAGAGCTAACTTTAATGTTCACACCCTCCTGACACTCTTTCCATACTCCTTCCTGATCTCCCACAGCTGCTCTCCAACTTCTTTCATGGTCGGACGGTCCTCCCGCGTCGGAGCGGCACACTGGAATGCCAAGTTCAGCAGCCTTTCGAGCACCTCATCGTCCACAGGATCCTCCAACAACGGATCCAATATCTCCCTCCTGTTCCCTTCATTGAATTTCTTGAATGTCTGCAGAAATACAAGTTAAAGTGTGCCCACATTCTCTACTTATGGACAGGACAGATACAAAAGTAGAGTTTTGACTTGAAACACGGTTGTAGGTAAATTCTAGCTAGAGGTTCAGTTCCGCTATATTTCAAATTATCGTGCAAAAAACTGAGGACAGTTATGGTTAGATCAGAAAAACGAGTATGATTTTACCCTCACATTTTGCCAGAGCTGTATTAACAATCAGTGTCATTTTAGTTCATGGTAACATATGATCACATCCATAGTAATAGAAGTATGCAACAAGTGTAACATCACTGGAATTAATTGCAAAGAATTGGTATCAAAGAAGAAGCCATTGAACATACCCATCTGATAGTTATTCTCTCTTCAGCAGCCCGCTTCAGTTCTACCGGTCGGCGAGCAGAGAGAATTTCCACAAGCAGTATGCCAAAGGAGAAGACGTCGCTCTTAGGAGTCAACTGGTATGTTCTCAGATACTCAGGATCAAGGTAGCCAGCGGTTCCTTTTACTTTTGTTGAGATGTGTGTCTTTTCTGTGTCACTGGGGCCACTTCTTGCAAATCCAAAGTCAGACACCTTGGCCCGGTAGCTCTCTGTCAGCAGGATGTTTGATGACTTCACATCCCGATGAATTATTGTCTTCTCTGTTCACATCGGAGAAATTATCAGATAGCAATACAGTATTATTAAAATCAAACTTCATCAAAATAAAAAGTGTGAATTTCATAAAACCGCAGCAATAGCAAATGATTTCATCAATATGAAATTTTCTCCCTTATGTGTGTATGGCATGTGGGCCCGATTTGCATAAAGCATGTGTACGTCATGTGTATGATAGGTGGGGCCAAAATTGTAGAGATATAAAGTTACAGCTTTTTGATAAAATCGTATGCTATTGTTGCAGTTCTCTGAAATGCTTAGCTAAACCATACTGATAGTTTTGACAAAATAGTTGTAGCTTTCTGAAATTTACTCAAATACAAATATAGAAAATTGGCACTAGTGTTATTTCAAAATAGAAATTATGCAACCAAATTAACAAGGAAAAAGTCTAATAGATCCTCTAAACTATAAACCATCCCAGGAAACTTCTGATCTATGCAAAAACATTTAAATAACTCCTTTAGAGGGGTCTTCAAGGTGGTTTGCCACTTCGGCATCTGATGTGGTAGAAAATGTGTATGGACTTCGCAAAATTCATAAAAATAAATTTCCTTGCATATTCAGATTGCATGTGATAGAAATAAATAAAGGGAGAGAGAATAGGTCATCTTCTTTGCTACACAGGGCATGATGATCGACCCGCACTGTGGAGAGAACTCGAGATGGCCAAAAAGGAATGCTCACTACACAAGGAACTTAATGGTGCTGGTGATTTAGTAGTCCGATGGGCATTAGAGTTGTGCTGGCAGGCACATCTCTATAGAAGGTATAGATGAGCGCATCACATCAATATTGATCCAAGGAAAAACAGAGATGGCTTACCAGCATATAGATGAAGATAAGTCAGTGCATGTGCAACATCAATTGCGATTTCGAGACGCTGATTAAAATCCAGGGTTCTTCCATATTGGCCTGCAGAATGCAGAAATATTTATTAATATGGAAATTTGGAAACACACAAATGGCAATGAAGAGAATAAATCAGAAAGTGCAATGTACCATCAAGATGCTCCCTCAGAGTGCCATTTGGAACATACTCAGTGATAATGATACGTTCATGTCCCTTATCAGTAAATCCCAGCAACCTCACCAAATTCCGGTGGTCAATCTTAGCAAGCAATTCTACTTCATTGCTAAACTCATCTCTGGGACCTGCGAATTGATCCTGTGCACAAAAAATAGTCAAACCCATTAGCAGGCAGTAAACCAAATACTTCGTCTGGTCATAAATACTTGATGTTTTGGATAGGATCTGACTATCAGCGACTTCTAATAAAGTACTAAGTTTGAAAACATAAAAATGGTACGTAGATTTATCCTGAAATGTAATTTCATAACATCATAAACTTATTGTTGGCAACTTTTTTTTGACAAGAAGACAATCACGATCGGGACACCTAAACGCCTTGCGGTGATATGGAATCGCCAACCACCCCAATCTAGCCAAAAGACAAATCAAGATGGGTTTTGTAGAAAAAAAAGCTAAACCGGCCAGCGGAGCCGATTTAGAGATCAAAATCAGCCTCTAAGCTGATTTAGATCGATATGAGGATAACTGCCCGTCTCGTGGGCAAACGGAAGGTTTACGGGACAAACCTACAAAGGGGTAATTGCACTCTCGAGCGACGGCAGACGATTTACGGCGCAAATCGACAAAGATGAACTAAAACTAGAGTAAAGTAGAAAACATGGCTAAAGTAAAGATAAAAGAACGATTCGATTGTGTTTGAGGAAGAGAAATATCTCGATCAAACCGGCCTTGTCCCTTAGATAGGGGTTGGTCTTGCCTCCTACAAGTCCTCCACGTCCAACTCGGGGTAGAAACCAATGGAAACCCGAAACATGCCTTCCCGAGCAAGGAAACCCGAGACCCGACGAAAAACAGACTCGGGCTCGGACTCAGCCGGTCTGACCGGCGGCACGCACCGCCGGTCAGACCGGCCCTCAAGCAACGGTCTGACCGGCCAACATACGGCGGTCTGACCGGCCCTGTGGAGGAAACCGGCAATTTTTCCAAATCTTGGCAATAATTCCTTAATTTGAACCTAGGTGCCAAATTTGGGTGTAAACACTTACAATATTATATAAATTTATTCTCATATAAAATTATGGGTAAGGCACCTTGAGGACCACGAAAAAAAAAATCAAACATCATTTTTTACCTGAGGGAGTAACTTAATCCAAATCCTAAGAGCAGTGTATTCACCCATAGATATTCTAATTAACCCCAACATAGTGATATAAAAGGAGCAACGTGTACCAGTGGTCCTTAAACTTGCCGAATAGTGTCATCCAGGTCCCTACACTTTCAAATTGCAGATTTAGGCCTTTATAGTTGTTTAACGTACCATCATGAGTCCAAATGTGCCCATACCCTCTTCAAGAGCCTATGTGGCATGCTAACTTGGAGCTGACGTGACATACAAGATGACATGAGCAGTGTAGAAGGGAATATATGCATATATCCCATCTATACCAAGCTCACACATAGCTTATGTGTTCCCACACACCATGTCGGCTCTAAGTTGGCATATCACATCGCTCTCTAGAGAGTTATGATAAACAAGTTTAAGAACCTAAATCTGCAATTTAAAAGTTTAGTGGCATGACTGACACTGTAAGAGGGCCGCTAGTGTACTTTACGCATTGGCCCTGTTCTTTTCAGCTTATTCACCAGATCATTTGCTCCACGCTTCGGAAAACACAGTTTCTTTAAAATTCTTCTACCGCATTGCCTAGACCACTTATTTCAAACCATTTGTTAAATTTATTTCTTAAAATATTTAATTTATCACTATAATCGAGTAGATAATCTGCGCAATAATCCATTCATAATCTAAATCAAACTGGGATAATACATTACAATCAACATGATTGATGATGAATCAACAAATTGATTAGAGGTAAAAAAAAAAAAAAGAAGGTAAAATCACAGATTGAGTGAGCTGATGGAATTACCTTTTTGGCTCTCTTTACTGCAACCACCTGGCCATCTGGCAATACAGCTCTGTAGACTGTCCCAAATCCTCCTTCACCTAACTTAAATGAAGGTGAGAAATTCTGAGTAGCCCTCAGAATCTGCTGCACAGTTAAGTTCACAGATCCAACTCGAGCAATTTGTGGAGATTGTGCGAATCTAGATGGACTTGGGGGTATTCGGTGTGGAGTTGGTGGAACCTTCTCAGATGACGTGCTTACATCCAAGGATGCAATCGATTCGACTGGAAAAAAGAAGTTTGGTTGTTAAGGACAAGATCCCAACAATGCTTTTGAGTTTGACACTGAATCAAAATGGTGCTAGTACGGTAGGAGAACATTAATCTTGCAAACAGCTTAACAGTCAGAGCTGCATACCAGAATTGAGATATTCTGCAACATATATTAAAATACATAATGTGCAAAATATAAATGGCTTTGCAAAGAAGTTTTATTACAAATACTTTTTCTTGGTTCTTCTAGGAAACATTGAGTTCTCAATAACCCTATTAATTGCTAACTAGTAGGGGTGTCAGAGAGATGGGCACACCTAAAACTTAGGTAGCAATTATTTCATTCTGCTGTGTGTATAGAGCTAACGACACAAATGAGGCTGGAAGGAATAGCAGCACATGAGTTAAAAATTACAGGATGACAGTTAATCAAACAAACAGATTTTGTTCTATTAGTTACGGACTATTATATAAGTTCTTTTTCTGCACTAGATGCCACTCCTTCCTAAGTAGCACAGACCAAGTTAGGAATTGGTAGAGATGATCCACTATGGTTCTCTGTAAATCCACATACTAGCCGGGAGTTGCTAGTTTGGTAAGTAAATGGTAGGTAAGAAATTTGTAAACACATACTAGTAATCCATCAGAGTTAGCTCTAAAGGTCCCAATGTGCCATCACAAACTATACCATGCAGAAGATGGTTAGGATAGCACAAGATTGAACTGACATACTCAACATACTAGAACAGGGAGCATTTGAGCATGTATTTAACTCATGATGAGAGAAAGCTTTAGACAACCAGTTCCCTATGACAACAAATTGCACAGAATACATGTGGATTTTAATCCTTACAAAATAGCTATTCATCTGACTCTTGCCGTGAAACAGTTTGAAGAACAGAAATACTATATACTCCCTCTTATTACTTGTCATTTACGACATCAGTAAGTCTTCAACACACTTTTTACTTCAACTGTCATGATATGAAAAATCAATAATTGTGTGTATTTAATTTCTAGTCCACCATCAGCATGAGTGGGTGACAACCAAATGGTTTTTTTTTTCAGCAGTAATATAGTGCAAGGTACTCATGATGTGTGGACTCACCTGCATTGCGCTGAATGGATGTAGTGTTATGCCTGCTGACTTCCTTTTTCTCAGCATGAAAGCACGGTATCATCAGACCACAGCATAGGAGAATCACACCTGGCACAGCTAGTAGATGATCCTGCCCTTCCAAAGAATCATTATCATCCTGATTATGTCCATGAATTCCCATGTTTTTACATGGGTCATCTTCAATTTTTGCATCATTCATTGAGGGCTGCCTTAAAAGCTTCCTTGGTATATTTTGTGCTGCAGTTACAATAATTCCCATGAAACCATGAGTACACACAATTTAGAAGGAAAGAAAATCTTTGTGTGTACAACATCATACCAAGAAAGTACACAAATAAAGGTGCTCTCTCACAACATCATATCAATAATTTACCATGAGCAGATCTATATTGGCTCTCTCAACTTTAATTCTATACAATACAACATGATACCAAGAAAGTACACAAATTCAAAACCCGGGCATTATTCTTAGCACAATTGAAGCTCGTTACCAAAAGCTAATCAACAGGATGAAACTCACCGTTGCTTGATTCACTCCCTTCACGGCAGTAGTGCTTCCAGGCGCCCCTCCATGCCTCTGACTGCTGGCCGCAGCGGAGGCAGCGGCTCACGTAGTACGACCGGAGCTTCTGGCAGCCAAGAACACGATCCTGAACCAATTCCCCATTGACGGACAGGTTGCGGCCGCCATCGGATGTGTCCAAGATGGCAACTTGGTCGTCTCCGCAGGTCCATGAGAGGGTTGGCTCGGAGACGGAGTCCAAAGCCAGGGAGGAAGAGCACAGAAGGAGGAGGAGAGCAGGGAAAAGAGGAAAAGATGCCATCGATACTGATAAACAATCTTCTTGACCCTTTCGAATTCACAGAGATATCATCTTCGGAATCCACAAATCGAATGAAATTAACGCGAGCACAAGATTGCTAACTCGTGATCTCCTTTTCCTTACGGAAATGAAAAGAAAATCCTAGTCAAGAACAAGGGGGAGAAGAAAGCAAGGGTGAGCTTAGAATTTTGTGGGGAACGAACTGCCTGCTAGAACACCACCAAACCCCGAGAAGCAGAAAAGGGAATCGAGGGGGAAGATGAAGACTTGGATTTAACTGGTCACAGCAAAGAAACAAGGAAGACTCTTATCTATATCCAGACCCAGTGGAGTCGAGAGAAGGAAGAAAAGTCGGAGCAGCTACCGCCGGCGGCCGGGATTCGGCGGCGGCGAATGAATCAGATCGAAGGGTAGGATAGGGTAGCAAAGGGAAGGGAAGAATTGAGGAGGAGGAGGAGCATAGTGCTAGTAGTTGGAGGAGGGGAAGAAGAGAGAGAAATATCAAGCCATTTTAGTCGAGTCAGCTTGGATTGGAGAGAGGGACTGTGGATGGATGGTCAAGTTGGAGACTCCCTGGCAGCCGGCGTCACTGCGTCTGCGTGCACACTGACTGCAACGTGGGGCCGGCTGCGGCTGTCTAGTTGCGTGCGCTGCTGATTTTCCTACTGTAGAAAAAGACCTCACAAGTACTCCCTTCGTTGTTTTGACTTTTTTTTTCCTTAGTCAAATTCCTTTAGATTCAACTAAATTTGTAGAAAAATACACTAATATTTTCAATATGAAACAAATATATTATCAAATATATTCAATGCTAAATTTAATGAAACTAATTGGTATTATAAATGTTGCTATTTTTTTCTATAAATTTAATCAAATTTAAAGAACTTTGAGTATAAAAAAAGTCAAGTGTCTTATAATATGAAACGGAGGGATTACTTACTACTCATTGAAAATTAAACTTACTACTCATTGAAAATTAAAAACATTTTAAATTTCTTAATAAGAAATAAAATATCCACGTTCCGAGATATAAATTATTTTTGTTTATGTTTTTCTATTGTCAAAATCTCTTATATTTTGGTACGGAGATAGTAGTTTTTAAATTTAGAGTATTTAAATATTTACCACTCTGAAATTTATTCAGATTTGTATTATTAGGATGTCTCAAATCCCACATTAGATTTATTTTTTATAAGACGGAGAGAGTAGACACATAGGGTGGCTAGACCCATATGTCATAGTCATATAGGGGTGGTAACTTGTTAAATATCACATTTGACAAATACTTAACTATCTCTTTTAGTTACATAAGATAATCCTAAAACAATCATATAGTATACTTTTTTTACAAACACAGATGATCACAATGCGTGCGCACTCACCTTAGACTTATGAGCATCTCCGGAAGACTAAGCTACTATATCTGGAGATTGAGCACCTTTAGTGACTGATATATTTTGAGATTGATGAAGTTATCACGGATGCCTCATTGTGACGTTGTTGATTGGTACATCGCCTACCACTTAAATAATAATTAGCAGTAAATACTTGCACCCGTATCAAATCACATAATAATTAGCAGTAAATACTTGCACCCGTATCAAACCACAGAGGGTGTGCTAGTACACTATAAGAAACATAACCAATTAAGTTACCTTCACTTGCAATCATATAGTATTGTGTATTGTGTAAACTCAGAGGTTTAGGACCAACAACAGAATTGCAAGTCTACCACACACTTGTACTCGGGGTTTATTTACCCATGTCGTGTATGAACTAAACACCAAATTGTAAATATGCCATGTATGACCCATGGGTTGTTACAACAATGAAAAAAAAAGGCAAAAAAAAAAGTATATGTTGCCTCTCTCTACTGTAGCACGAGTCCCATTTTTCTCCCTCAACCCGATAACCATACAGATGTTCCCTCATATGTCAAAACCGAGTCAAACAACCTCCCTTAGTGGTGCACAACGATTTTGTCTTATATAGCTGGCAATTCAACAAAATTATAAGTTCAAAATAAAAAACATGCTAGGCCTACATGCCATCCTCCCTATTCGTTTTCTTCCTCCACCTCTCCTCATGTTTGGTGACCAATCATCAATTGATTCCATATGGCACGGTGAGGCATACATGCGCTCCCGAACTGGGTGCGCGCTGTGGCGAGGAAGACAACAACCAACTCAACTTTCTTGCCTCCATCTGAGACAATTAGAGCAGGATGTTCTACAGCACCTGAATTGAGATCATATAACTTACCTCCCTCTAACTTGTGTCACTGACGTGTGGGCCCTTTACCCAGTGGACCCCACATGTCAGTGACTCAAAGTCAGAGGGAAGTAAGTCAGAGGATCCTCTTCCTACGGCACCCATGGGTGCACATGCGCCACGGATCAGAACCATACCATCATTTCCTACGAGGCATCCCACGCCCATCGCTCACCCCTACGCTCCACGTTTCATGCTGACCACCGAGGGAGTCCTCAAGTGATCAAGTCCACTGTCTCCACCTCACCGCTGCCCGCAATAACCTTTGGTCCATCTCCTCGCCCCATCACATCTCCATTGGCCCTATCATTAGTATCATATATAGGAGACTAGCAAGTGGGATTTAAAACATGGGTTGACCAGATAAAGAAAATACAATGTAAGATGAACCGATGGGTAAGCCAGAACCTATATGATAAAATCAAAAGGTACCACACCAAAATAGAGAAGATAATCCACACCACACCAACATGAGATTCTTGATGGCTTTGTTTGTGCCTTGTTCTTCCTACAGAAATTCATGGAGTGTACAGTATTAGAGTTGTCACAAGAACGAAAGGAAACATATTCTATGCACACAAGTTCCTGTGCATACCAATTAGCAAATGTCATGAAAATTCTACAGAAAAATAGACATTTACTCCTAATAGTATTATACATTTCTGTAAGGTCTCATATTCAAATTCATTATATTTTAGCCGCAACAAAAAAAGTGAAAAAAAACTAACAGTTTTAAGGGTAAAAATCTATTAGAATTTTGTTTTTTTAGGCTAAAATATAATAAATTTGAAGATAAGATTTCACACGTAGGTGTAATACTATTGGAAGTCTGTGTCCAATTTTTTCTAGAATTTTCTATGACATTTGCTAGTTGGTGCGCACGGAGTGTACACGGGAAGTTTTGTGCATAGAATATGTTCCCAAAACAAAAGAAAATGTTTTTTTTATTGCATAAGGGAATGTCATTGCTTGCCACAAGCTATCTTGGCTACGCTTCAATGCCACAAACCAAGGAAAATTCACTTTTTTTCTCTTTTTGCTTCGTTTAACATTTTACCCCTGCAAATGACCAATATTCCCCCACATGTTTATTCTTCATATTTTCGAATTCTCTCTTGAATTTCTATCGTGTTTTCACAAATCTTTAGGTTCTCTCTCTTAGACCTTGTTTGTTTGATCCCAAGAGAGGGGATTAAGGGGAAATAACTCTATACCACAGTAGAATGTAGAATAGATCTCTTTCAAATCTCTTTCAATCATCTTGTGGGAGAGATTAACCGAACAAGACCTTAAGAGAATATTACTAAAAATGTTCTTGATCTTTTTGGAAGGTTGTAGGATTACTATTAACTAGGTGATTCTCCACGTTTTACTGCGGGAATCACTAAGCAATTCTGAATATATTTTTTTGACAATCAAGCTAGAAGTAAAAAAGGAAAAAAATTGAAACATTAGGGTTTATCAGTACTTATCATGAAACAAACAAATGATACTTGTATTTTAATGTGAAACATATTGATAAGTATATGTTAAATATTATAAAAATAATAGATATATTTGTTAAAATATTGTGTAAATGATACGAGGGGTGATGATTGGATATGTTTGCATGTTGATTTATAGAATTAAATAAATTATAGATGATGTTTTATACTTGCATGAAGTTAAATATGTAATTATTACCAGTGGGTGATGATGTGGGATGGTTGTATGTTAAGCTTTGTAATTTTATACAAAGTATAGATTTAGCACCAATCTAAGCTAGATACGTGTTCCGCATGAACCAACCAAACATACGTGGCCTTTTCTTCAAGATTAATATTATCACTGGTGTAATCACCCATCTAAAATGATTTACTTGCATAATGATCACTCCAAAATTGCCTCTCTGTCCACAGATGAGAGAACCACGTGCCACTCAAAACAAGTGGTTGTACTTTTGTATGGAGGAAGGCTTCGAAATGCATCAGCTTTCCATCTTCTATTATTGGGACATCATTATTGATCAAGCAAACTGTTTAACCCGGGGCCCTTGTTGGTCTCTTTCATGGTAGATAGTTTAATCGCCAGTGTTGCTTTCCGTACATCATGCCTGGCAATTTTGGGCATAAAATCTGGTGTTACACGACACAACAGAACGCATAAAATTTTCATTCTTTTGAAAGTTTGACTAATGAAGTTTGCAATGCATAATCACACCAATGTTAGTTAATTAATGGCTTGTCGCGTCGGACACGTTTGAGAAGAAATTTCAAGATGTGTTATTTCAACTCTTCTTATGCATTCCTACCTGGTAGGTGTAACTTCCTGCTGCTCTAGGTGGTCTTGATTTAAAAAAGGTACAGCTTAGCTACACGGGCCCAGATATGTATCATTGTGGCTTTTATAAATCCTGTACTTTTCTCCTGCATTGTTCCAAAAAAAAAGTGTTCTCCCTCTTTTTGTTTATATCCGTGAATTTTTGTTTATATCTCAATTCGTATCTTAAAACGTTGCACATACGTCTCCAGTTTAGTCTATCAAAAATCTTGGAACTGCGACGTCACATCATTGTCCAATGTAACGGGCTTAATAAGATGTACTCCAAAGATAACCATGTTCTAATCGATGTGAGAAATGGCCCACGTCGGTCGGCCATTGTAGTTGGGAGCGGACAAACATGCTGATTCCCGCCGCGGCCAAATCTATTCTTATCTAGCATGTCTTGAGAGCAAACAGCTTTCAAAGGAGGAAACAATCTAAATGATGATTGCTGGGGACATGTCATGAAATGCCCAAAATCATACTAGCGACGAACCTCTGGCAGTTGCCTATGCAAGGAAAGCGAACATTCTAATCAGCAGAAATGTTACAGCGGTACAAGGCCTAGACTGCAAACATTTTACACGGATTGGAGCTACAACTTTTTAGACATCAATCTAAGCTATATCCAGAGTTACAACGATCGGCATGGCCGCTTGGCCACCACTCAGGCATCAGGCACCGTCAAGGCATTTGATGGAGGCAGCAGGTTGAGTGGAGCTCATTTCCGAGTAACAGCTTACCAATTTATCATTCACCTGAAAAAAAAGAGTAACAAGTTAATCATGTGTCAGTACACGCTGGTCCGTCCGATAACACAACAGCATTTATCTCATTGCTTTTTAAGAAAAAAAAATCTGCTAGAAAATGGATCAAAGGAACTAAAATCCCTCAAGTTCTCTACTTCTCGTCAAATAAAACTATCTGTATCTCAGCATCGCATGTAAAGATTTGATTCAGGTCACCCTTTTAAACATGACAGCAGTTTCTCATTACAGTTTAAAGCATACAGTTTCAAAAAACCACTGTTGTTTTACAACCCAAAAAAAAAATCATTTTTCTTGCACTGCATTCCACACAACATGAAATGGTCACTGGTGTTTACTTTCATATAGTTCACAAAGAATGCCATACTGAGGGTAGGTAGGTATTTTTCTCACCTTCAGTCTCAACTTTTCCAAGCACGTTCTTGTGCAGATTGGATGCCCTAAATGTTACCGAGATTAATTCTGTTAATTGAAATTAATCAATGAAGAATCTAAGATCAACATATTGAGAACAAAAAGTAATGTTAAATAGTACCTGTTGTATCCTACTGGGATCAATAGCACCAGGAGTCTGTAGCTGAGTATAATTCAATTCCTATATAAAATGTTTGAGATGTAAAATGTTCAAATCTTACACAACTTACAACTTCAAATGTAGATTTAAGAGACAGGAAAGTTAAAATCTCAACAGTAAAGTTCATTCAAATTTTATCGCTATTATACAGTGTTTCAAGATCATATATTCAACAAAGAAGTTTTTGTCTCTTGAAGCGGATACAACCTGACGTGTCAAAAGTGCTGATAGACAAAGTAATCAAATCAAAGTTGAGAATGAAAAAATAAAAGGTTTGAATACATAGAAGAAGCACATGTACTGAAACACAGTGCTAGGTAGAAACATTCATTAGAATAGTTTTCTTGGTTTGACAAGACTCAAGAAACAGAAAAGGGATCTCTTTAATGAGCTGGCAACAGGAAAGAAGGAAAAAGATAGAAGCAGAATATAGATCATGCGAAGCTGGAATCAAATAGTAATGTGCATATTAGAATTATAGCTCAGGGAACAGCATGTGCACCTGCTGTTTCATCTGCATTTGTTGCTGTCCTTGTTGTGCCTGAGGAATTTGTTGGACAGGTTGCATTGCTGGATGTGTCTGAGCCTGAGGTGGTGACTGAAGTTGCTGCATGGCAAGTTTTTGTTGGTGCTGTTGAAGCAAAAGTAGTTTCTGCTGTTGCTGCTGCTGTTGCTGTTGCTCATACAGCACATACTCTTCAGGCTTATCCCACTGTAAAACAATAACTCTAAGAGTGAGACCCACAAATGTTGCGATCTTTAAAATGATTGGTGATGAGTTTCAATTCTTCACCTTACTCTCTCGAGTTATGCTATTGTAGTAGTATTTAAAACCTTCAGGAGACGTATGTTCAGTCCAATTGCAGGTTAAAGGAACTGCAGGTGAAGTAGCCTGCTGGGGAATTGTATTAATGTTTGATGGAATAATGGCATTTGGGGCACCAGGGTTACTAGATTGCACTGGCTGACCCTGTAGTGGAAACAGAAACGGTTAAAAAAAATGTCAGCCGTAAACCACATTATACAACTAAACACAAACCGCGTACACATTGGTGTATGCATAGAAAATACATGTTGCTCAGCGACCTGTGTGGGTTGTTGATGGTTTAGATTCGATTGCTGCTGCTGCTGCATTAGTTGCAGCTGTTGTTGAAGCTGATAAATTGCCTGCTGTGAAGATTGATAACTGGATTGCAAAGCAGCTTGCTGTTGGAGTAGCAATTGTGGTGCTTGCGATGGCATCTGCTGCACTGGCTGCTGAAGCATTTGTGGTGCAACATTTGAGGGAAGATGCTGTTGCCCGGGAATAGCTTGCATGGAATTGGACACGGCTGAAGGCACCTGCACAGCGCTGACGGAAGCATTTTGTTGCATCAACGGCTGTGACACAGGAAGCTGACCAGATAACCTATTCTGGCCAAAAGAACCAGGACCCATAGATTGTGGAACTTGAAGCTGACCAATCTGTTGAGCAGGACCCTGCAAGGGTTGTCCCAGCTGATTATTCTGCAATTGAACAGGGAAATTCTGAGGCAACCCTGGTAGCTTTTGCAAAGGTGGGATCTGCTGGCCTCCCAGATGATGGCCTTGTGCCATGGGAGGAGGGTTCATGCCCTACAAAGTAAAAGGTATCATGATGTTTAACCGATATTTTCCATCTAAAGCTATTGATGAACAGAAAAAGTCGAATATCCCAGTTTACCATATGTGACGAACTTGGCACAGCTGTTTGGCTTGACAAAGAGCCATTTCCGCTGAACATCTGAGGTCGAAAAGTGGCCTATGATATTGCAGTATCAAAGGTAAGCAAATGGAAGCAAACAGAATTGAACTGTCATAAAAAGATTGATTTGAACCACATACCGTATCTGTTGTTGATGTAACAGTACTCCCTTTCGGAGCCATAGGATTGTCAGATCCAAAGTTATTAAACTGATGAGGTGCTGACCTTGGGCTTGATGGATGCCAAGAGTCAGGAGGCATATGCCGACCCCTTGGTTCATCAAGGTTGGCGGTCGGCCTGGATAGAAAAAGTAGACTCAGTTCAAGTTCTAACTATTCTCAAGCAAGAAATCAGTTTAATATAGTACTACAAAGACAGTCATCAAAAGGAAAAATATGAAACAAGGGTATAATGCCCGCACTGTTTAATTAGAAAACATACTGAAGGGATGGATAAATTGGACTAATTTTGGAATGGGGTGTCAAAATACCTGTTTTATTGTTCGGTTTGTTGGATGGACTACTGATCAAAGTTTATATGGACGTTTTCATTTACTAGCCTTTGTAGGACTATAAATTGTTACTTGCAAAATGCAAGCCTCAAAAATCAGTGAACAGGCTGAAGGGACGGGGGCAAACTATTTGCAACTATTTTCACTTGCAATTTAACATTATTCTCCAATCTTTAAAAAGTAGCTGTTCAATGAAGGGGTAACCAAACCTGATAACAAGAGCTGCATCAGATCGTGGACTGAAACCAGGACCTCCAAATGCAGGACCACCCCTAACAAAAGACAATTCAGACATCAGTATTTACTGGGAAACGGGAGCAATTGTATTTATCTAGGTATAAAATATAAAACATGTGCTGAACCTAGATTAGCATGGAGGTATCAGCAAAGAAAACATAGGGTGAAAGTGTAGCCACCTTGATTCTCCAGGTCTAGGTCTCTTAGGATCAGCGAACCGAATTATTAATGGTTGCTCGCACCCCTAACACAACATAATGGATATATTATAAATTTTCAGAAAGTCAATAAGAACTCAGCTAACAGAAACTTACCCTCATTACATAATTCCCACTCAGAGCACTCATGGCTGCCAGCGCCGGTTCTCGTGATGAGAATTTGACAAAGCCACAACCTTGATTTTGCATATGTTACAACAATGGTTTGTAAGGGAAAAAAAATAAACTGCAAATCAATCAAGTTAATATGACAGACCTCGGCTCTGCCTCATGCCATCTTTCATAATGTAGACATCTTCCACATGACCATACGGCGCAAAAATCTACAAAATAAACCAGACACAAATTTGATTTAATATGTACTTGATATATGCTTCTTAACTTAAAATGATGAGTTCATAAATAAAGCATCAAAAAGCAATGCAAAATTTCACATTGGTCTTGGATAGATGAGTTCTAAATCTACATAACCTTCTTTTGAACAACAGACCCTTACCTCTTCAATCTCCTTCGCAGTAGCTTGCTTATTGAGTGATGCGACAAACAGCTTGTGCTCAATAGCCCCTAACAAATAGATGAAAAGTGATGAAACCACCCAATAAGTACAATAAAGAAAATATAAGTGAAGAAAGTAAATTTCTATTAACAAGTCAAACATATTTCACTCCACTAATATTTTTGTTTAGCCTAAAAAGGGAACAGTACGATTATCAACCATAGAAGTTATGGGGTGGAGCTATGCTATACAATTGACTCAAATCCCAGCATTGTTCTAAAGTACCAATAGCCCACTGATAACAAAAATACTATTAGTTACCATGGCGTTCCCTTTCACCATCAGCATATCTGACTTGAATAGGGCCCATTGCCTGACAGAAAAGATACACACAGTCAATAATTCAAGAGTCTTACAGACAAAAGACTGACTATAAATGAGTACACAACAAAGAGATTAGTTACCCCAGGTAAAGTGTACTGGTTGTGAAGAGCTCTGATGGCTCGCTCAGCCTCTTCAGAAGTAGCATATTTAACAAAACAACAACCTGCAAATATGAGCATATCGATTTGATCACAAGCCGTTGCAATTTTCTGTATGTTTCACAATGATCATGTATATGAGAGAAACATAGCAGAGTTAGCCAAAGCAGGATAGAAAGGTGGCGCATTATTTTGAAACAGGTCGTGAAATTCGACTCCACATTCCAATCTTTGACATTGAAGATGAACAATACTACTCCCACCATCAAGAAGCGAAATCCATTCAACGAGACAAGCATAAAAGCCTTATTAAAAAGTAATAAGATTAAATAATATAACTATTTGGTAATATGGCATGTCAAAATATTTAGACTACACTGTGCAACTGCCAGCAACATTCATGCAAGAAGAATTTACGGCTAATGTATGAAACATTAAGTTCTTTCGCGATGCTCCAACTGACTGCATATTCCATTAAAATTTCAGTAACAGCTTGCATCATACAACTTATGTTACCATCATACTAGAACAAACATAAAGTGTTTTGCTCGTAATAAAAGAAACAGGGTGTGCCTGGTTCACAACTTCACATACAGCACTATACTACATCCATCACTCCAGAAGATGGCATACAGACAGCAGTTCACAGTAATGGATCATGTGGTGCACAGCAATTGCAGAAAATTGTGGTAACAGTAGGAAGAAAGCTCATGTACCCATTAAATAGACAGGATAACAAAAAATCTTCAAAGGGTTCACAAAAGGGAGACCACATTTGCAATCTGATAATATGAGCCAGACCTAGATTCAACAATGTCGATGCACTCAGATTCTGATTAGCACACGTGGCATAATGTACCAACTACCTAATAGTTCCATTCAATATCAATACAAGCCAGTCACAGCTTGACCAAGAATAAGTGCTACATGTTGAACATCATAGTACCATCCTCTCTCAACAATAATAATGAGCATAACTCCTGTACTCATAACTGATGGGAGGCACACATTAAAGATGGCAACCAAGTCGTGCGCAATAAACAAAATATAATCACAACAGCACATCTCAGGGTACGATGCCTTGCGCAGCCTCCTGACTCCAATGGCTGGAGTGTGGTCATAACCCAGATAGCATATTATAAAGTATAAACGGGTCTAGAATCAGAGTTCAACTTCAACTGATGGTAAAAACAAATGCTCATCCAATCATTTCCACAAAAAATAAAATACCAGCACCACAGTTCAAGTGCAAGGGCTTTTCCCAGCACTACCATCAATTCCATGCCACATAATCTGATTTTGGGTATTCTGAACTCAAATCTTTAGTACGCCATAATAACAGAAATGCATGGATCATGAATCTGAGTAAAAAAATCGGAGTGAAAGTTACCACAAATGAAATACATAAAATCACAAAGGTGAGGACTACTATAAACACATGGTGCAGTACGCATTGCTTAATGTATCATCATCACCATCATATAAAGGTAAGTTCTACAAAAGATCGACTCAATTTTTTGGTGCCACAGTCCCAGGCTAAAGAACCAGAATGGCTGAATCATCAAAAGCAAAGCCATAATTATCTGGTACTGGAAGTGATACCAGCAGTGCCATTCATTCTCAAATACAGGTCAACTCAAACAGAGCAAGCTGATCACATACAACAGCAAAAGCTGTTGGAGATTGCACTTTAATAGATATATTTCATACAAATGGCAAGTACCATCGTGATGACCATCACACCCAGTAATGACACTCTGTCTGCAAACATACAATTCCCACTAAATGCATACAGAATAAAAAGTTGTCATGCCCAAGCATCCATAAATTGCATAGTCAGCATATCACAATCAAACAACCAGAACTCACAGGATATCATTATTATTTCAGAATAACCAGGAAGGCCGCGCCACTCATGGTAATAATGTATAGCTGAACTGAACAAATAGCATTACTGTCCATCCAACCACAACTCTAGATTAGTACTGCTCACAACAAGCACCCATGATTTCTGAACACTAAACAACAAAAAGTATAGCACCAGTTTAGATTAGTCAGGACAACACTACAGTGCACCATCCAACCAGAAACCCACTCACAAATCAAAGGGTTCATCACTCATACCAACGGGATTCCATACAGAGAAATTCACGATGCTAGAATAACAAAATCTGGATCCATGGAACAGAAAATGATGAAATAGTTTGGTCTGAATTCATCAAAATGTTCCCTGTTCTTTTGCAGCACATTCAAAAGAAATGGATGCAAAAGTTTTCAACAGATTGATGTGACTGAACAAAGTTGCTGGTACTGAATCTGCTACTTTGTCTAGCAGCAGATCAGAATATCCAGTTAGATTACAGTAATCAGACAACAGTTAATTGCTTCCATTCTCTTCCTCTACTGAACCAACAGGAGAGAAACAGAATGGAAGCGCGGTAAAATGAAGTCAACAACTGCCAAATCTAACTGAGAGAAGATGCAACCTCGTTGCTCCTAGTAACTCTCAGGACCTGAAAAGAAAGAGATACAGAACTTGTAATAATATTAAGGAAAAAAGTTTTGCCGTACCTTGCTGTTCACCAGTCTTCCTATCCTTGATCAAAGCAACTTCAACAACATCTCCATGCTCCTCAAATAAAGGACGTACCTGGAGAAAGGAGAAATGTCTTTTACAAACTGGATAGCTCAAGAAGAAAATAGAAGGCAACAAAAGAGTGCCAAAAATCAAGTAGTGAACAACAAATTAAATGGGTAACCATATGAATTACTTATAATGGATATGAGATCAGATAAACCCGAAACTAAGCAATAGGCAAAAGGTAGCTTCAGCTAGTTTCTAAGTGAGCTTTTTCTCTCAACGTAGATAGTTTCTTAGATGATTTTTGACCAACATGAATGCCTATATTTATATTATCTTCTAAGCCAACTTGTAGAACTTGTAAGCATTAAGCCTACGGATTGTTTCAGATACAGCGATAGCTACGATAAAACAACCTCAAATAACAGATTATAGTCAGGCAGAAGAATACAAATTGAAAGCAGAACATAAAGAGTTAACTAAGGACGAAAGAGCAGATACAACATCAAGTGGTGTAAGTGTAACACTCACATCATCCTCAGTCGCTGTCCTTGGAACTGACCCAATAAAAAGTTTAACATAGTTGTTTCTGTTATCATGATCTGCACCGAAAAATTAGATGTAAATCATATTTTGCAGATGAAAGGGTGTAAAACATAAGCTCTAAATAATTCTCCAGTGAAGCCCACTTAGATAAAACAGTACATCGAGATGCTCTAGAGCATTGTATTCATTACTACTATCACAATCCCTACATTGGCCCTGGTTGGCTTTGAACTGGAAAAAAGAACTAAATAGTATATAAAACAAGAAACGTTTAGCTGAACATGCTATAACTGAATGCTGAACCTAGAATAAACAGACTCTCAAGTTTCAGAACGAGACGATTTCCTAGCCCCTCCTGCAACCATTAGGCCATGTTATGAAGTAAAACATTCTCTACAAGACTAAAACCAATCAAAGGTCGTCCTCCATGCAAAAAAAGTTAGGTGGTGGCTTTGCCATCTAGTACATACGTCAGAGCCATATAATGGAACTGTACACTCGTGTGCAGTGCGAATTTCAGCAAGATATCCCACATGCGAATATTAATTGCTTAGGTTTTCCAACATCCACAGTAAAAGTTGATTTACTAAGATAATTTTCATACATAAGCTAAGGTACAAATCGTGACCAAAACACCTCGTCACGTGTAAGCAGATCCCAATCCTAAGATAGCTCGGGAAAACCTAAAGTATCCCAGGCGCGATAATCTGGGCACAAACCTGAGTGGTCACCACGGCCACTGCCGTAGCGGTGTCTCGGCCCGCTACCCGGCTCCCCGTACTCGCCGCCGCCGCCGCTTCTGTAGCCTCCGCCGCCGGAGTGGTCCGACGGGCCACGGTACGGGTGGAACCTCCCGCCTCCACCTCCGCCTCCGCCACCGTCGCCGCCGCCCCCACCCCCACCACGGGAGAAGCGGTGGGGTGGGCTGCCGCTACCGCCGCCGCCACCGCCGGACGACCAGCGAGAAGGGCCGCGGCCGAATCGGCCGTCCCCGCCGCCGCGAGAACCGGGCGCGGGGCCGGAGGAGGGGTCGGTGGAGCGGTCGCCGCCGCGGTGCATGTGGGTGGAGGGGGAGGTGGGCTAGGGTTTTGCGAGAGCACGAGAGAGGAGAGGAGAAGGAGAGGAGAGGAGACTCGGGAGGGAGAGGCGACTCAGGCGAGACCTCGACTCGAGACACAACACAACACAAGAGCCCGTGGGGATTTTTTTTTTATTTTGATCTTTGGTTTCTCGTTTACTTGAGTTGTGTGCGTGGATGAGATTGGATCGGATGGTCTCGATTCGATGCGCCTATTGGTCAGAAGTAGTAGAACTCAGAAGTCGTTGAGCTCGTCCAATTTAAGCTCAAATTAAAAAATATATTATTCTCTTAAAAAAAAGTCCAAATACCCTCTAAACTACATATAGAAGTTTGTAAGGCATCTTAAACTTTAAAACTAGATATCTAACTCCCTAAACTTTACAAAACAGTTCATATTATCTCTTAAGGTGATTTTGTATAATGGTTTTTATCTAATTTGTACTCTCTCCGTTTCAGGTTATAAGACGTTTTGATTTTTGTCAAAGTCTAATTGTTTTAAGTTTGACCAAGTTTGTAGAAAAAAGTAGTAACATTTTCAACCCAAGATAAATTTATTATGAAAATATATTCAATTATTGATTTAATGAAACTAATTTAGTATTATAAATATTACTATATTTGTCTATGATCTTAGTCAAACTTGAAACAGTTTGACTTTGACCGAAGTCAAAACGTCTTATAACTTGAAACGGAGAGAGTATATAACTTGGATGAGTTTGATCACGTGACATATACATTGGACATATATATTAAAATCTCCATTTAAATCTTTCTTTTTAATCACTTGTTAGCTCTCACTTGTTTGCAAACAAGTACCAACATAATAATAGTATAGTATAACTATATAAGTACAAATTGATGATATGCAAATATGTTATATTAGTTATTCAAAATTGTTTGTTTAAGCTTCCAAAATATGCAAAACCACCTTAGGGGGTAATATGAACGGTTTTACAAAGACCAAGGGATTAGATGTCCAGTTTTAAAGTTCGGGGTGCTAGATAGACTTTCATCTAAAGTATAGGGGGTGTTTGGACTTTTTTTTAGTTAACAAGACTTAAGTACCCGTACATACACGTATCTCTATAAATACACATATACTCTCTTTGTTCACACATCTATACTTTTTATATAGTTGGTACACACTAACTCCTAAAGCTCAACATGTAACTGTGTCACATCATCATCCACTATGGCATATCATCATCATACTCTAGAGTATTTTAAATCTCATGCAAGATGATGAGGACACAACTAGCTCGGATATAACCATGACTATCTTATGTATTAATCAACCAAAGGTACATGTGTTCTACATTAGATTTACTTATTATATATTTGAACAAACGTTGCTACACAATAAGTTTTGTATGTTTTCGTTTGTAGAGATACTTGCTTGGGCGAAAGAAAAGATACCGAGCATAACGAATGCATGGATGATCAAAGAAGTTCATTAGGGACCAAATCAAGACCTTCTCCTAGTCCACTTCCATCTCACCATGTCACTTTTGGTCCATAGAAGATAAGAGATAAAGTTCTACATGTTTTGGATTCAGATTCGGGCCTTCTGACAGCATCAACTTCAAACGGACCTAGCCGCTGATCTAGAAGGAATTTCGGGGCCCATGAGTACTTGTTGGAAAGCTTATGGACTCTAATGGTTTTGGTCCCACGTCAAAATTCCTACCGAGATGCCGGGAATCTCTAAAACAAGCCACGTATCTTATCCAGTCCGAATCTGATTTGGGTTTTGGGCCTTGTAATTGTGTCGTGGGCTTAGCCCAAGGGGGTGTGCGCCCTAGGGCAACCCTAGGACGTCCCTAATCATACTTAATCAGTAACCGTCATCATTTAGAGTCGGGTTTTGCTTAGATTAATCTGTCAAGAACAGTTTCGCCGTTAGATCGGTTTGTAAATTCGTGTGCTTAATCATTCATATGCAAATTGGTTGCAATCTATCTTGTTCTTGCTTGTGTTCTTCGATTCGCATGTAGGGATTAGCCTTCTTGGTGAGGTCAACCGGATTTCGGCACGGTTGATAACCAGAGGAGACGTGGTGCTGCGATTGCGGGGCTCAATAGCGTGTTCATTCAGAAGCCGGATCGAGTTGTGTCGCGACTCCGCCCAATTCGACTGTTTATCAATACCTATTGAAAAATCGAGACCTAACATCCCTCATCACAAGCATGACATATTATTTACAATATTGTTGTATTTTTAGAATTCAACATGCAAGTAATGTTAAAATCATCGTTTCCACGTTATTTTCACATTATTTACACATATACATCTATCATTATAATTTTATAATGTATACCATGTATCCATCCACATACCAATTAACTAGTATTTCTCAATTATTAAATGCTTATTTACCATACTATAATTTTTTAATGTAAAATAAAGGTCTTATTAGTTATATCTGCTTATTTACCCCCTAAACTATTGCGACGATACAAAATACTCCCATGAACTATAAAACCGGACAATTTTCATCCTCAACTTTTCATATTGGACGAATTACCCCCCTGACTCGCTCTAGAGCGATTTTGATCCTACATGGTAGTCTAGTCAACATGAAAAAAAATTAAAAGTGACAGGGCCCACCATGTCATACATGGGCAATAGAGCATTGGGGAAGATATGACATGCGGGTCCCACCGTTTTTTAGTTTTTTTATGCTGATTGAATTGCCACGTGTGTACCACGTAGGAACAAATCGCTCTAGAGCGAGTCGGGGGGTAATTTTTCATATATAAAAAGTTGAGAGTGAAGAATGTCTGGTTTTATAGTTCATGAGGATAATTCGTACCGTCAGAATAATTTATGGGGTAATTCAGACTTTTTTATTGTGTTTTAGCGGCACAAGGATTTAATTAGCATTTAATGATCCTATTTGTAAGCATAGTAATCGGTCTAAAATTGGAGTAAATCATATACTCATAATATCTTTTGAGGTTGGGCTTTATGCTTGGATGATATTGGCACACTAAAGTTATGATTTAGCATAGTGTGGCTTGAAATGCATTTGCAGTGACAATAGGTGTGTGTTTTCAACTACAAGATCCCATGTTCAATGTCCAACGTACTCACAATTTTTCTTATTTTTTTAAAAAAATGTTTGAAGGGATGTCCCTCCCTCAAGATCCCATGTTTGAAGAAAAAAAAAATCTTTTTTTCTATGTGTGGCCCAATAAAAATGAGCTTGGCTAGATAGATAATTTCTAACGTAAGAGTGCATCTCATAAGTCATAATTCAATCACCTACTCAAAAAATTTAAACAGAAAAAAACAACAACCATTACAGTGTTGCCTTTGCAACATGTGGTAATTTAAAGAGAGTATAACATCTGCGGAGACAACCCCATTGAACAAGGGTTATTTAATATTTTGTTGAGTAAGAAAGAAGATGACGCTATTAGATGCTCCTAGTGTGATTTCTGTGATGAGATGATTTGAACTGTGTTATGTTTCTACATAGCGAATTGGTGTACCGACTACTACCTCCATCGTGTTAAAAAAAAAAAGACTACCACCTCCATCCTAGTTGAAGTGCAGTTGTGAGTTTTCGTGTCCAACGTTTGACCGTTCGTCTTATTTGAAAAATTTATGAAAAAATTTAAAAAAAGTCACAGATAAAGCATTATTCATATATTATCATCTAATAATAATAAAAATTAATCATAATTTTTTTTAAATAAGATGGATAGTCAAACGTTGAATAAACGATACAAAACTATATTCTTTCTTGGACGGAGGTAAGTACTACTCCAATTTTTATGAAGATATGTATACACCTCCAAGACCTTGTTCGGTTCGAAAAGGATTCCCTTCCTCATGGGGATTGAGCAATCATGACCTAAGTTAGCTTATTTAGACCGTAAGCAGCAGAAGAATATATCTTATGCATATAAATTTTTCGTACACATCAACTAGCAAATGTAAAAAAGTTTCTAGAAAAAATTTGACACATAATACATCCTGGGCTGGTTAGTGTTGTGATAAAACTAGCGTCATTTTTTCCACGCTTGTGTGTGTGCTTGGTCGGGTATTCATTTAACACTATATATAATAGTGATCCAAATAGTGCCCGACCGGATAACCGTTTGATCAAGCACACTGCCCGTTTTTCTTGAGTACTACTAGCTCTCTTCACTAGTCTACGTGTCATCTATTTAGAGGATTTTTTTTAAAAAAAACAAAATGGGTACGGTTTTGGCTGTTATTAGCTGATGATTAGGAGGATGAGTGCATTCCCCCCTAAGATACACCTACACGGAGTGGAGAAACACACTGCTATGATGATAACGTTTGATTTCTTACAATGAGTCAAGGGGCAAGACTCCCGTAAGAGTGCTTCACAACCAGCACTGTCCAGGATTATCAGTGTGCCCAATCAACCTGGTGAAATGTGCTTAGCGAGCAACATATATTCATTCATCTGAAACATAACTCTACATAGAAACAGGCTAAACAAAACAGACTGAAAATAAACAGATGCAGATAAGAAATAATCAAAGGTAATGAGAAACAGATGCAGATAAGAAATAATCAAAGGTAATGAGATGCATCAGCAACGGCAAAAGATCCACAGCATACTCATCTTGGTCATCGGGTTCAAAAGATTTTGCACGTTGCTTTCCCGAACAATAAGCACATATATCGTAAACTATTTCATCCCTCTTCTGTCCAAAGAGCGGCAAAACTAAAACGATATTAACTCCGACACATTACACCCCTGAATCAGGGAAAGCTTTTAAAGTGGGGAAAGGGGGGGAGATCTACAGTTTTTCTTCTTCTTATGTATGGTACACACAAGAACATTACGATCTTCGATCATCCACCTGGGGGTCAGGGTCCAAAAGATGAAATGGCAATTATCAACTACAGAAATCATCAAAAGGGCGACCGGTCCTATCTTAACTGCTGACTGCTACACTATGCCTCCTAAATCTCACAGTTCTACATCGTCTCAACTTGGCGATTGCTTCTTGTGCCTTCCCTTGAAGAAGGTCCACATAAACTGATGCTAGCACTGCCCTGGGGTTGTTGGGCAACAAGGCAACGCCACGGCTTACCATATAGTTAGCCTGCTCAAGCTCTCCCTGCACTGCAGCTGTCATGCCTAGGTCAATATAAAGAACACCCTGAGCTTCCTCAGGCTTGAGGCTTTCTGAATACTGAGATTCTCCTGAGGACAATTTTGTGACTACCGGAGCAACTGAATCTTCACCATCGCTGTCTTTCTCAACA